AAAAAAAGTGAAATGTTAAGCGGACCACACGTATGCATTCGTGAAACACACGAGAGAATTGAAGGAGTTCACAATAGCCCATCTAAACATTACCAAAAAACGATATTTTTGAAATCATTTTCGAGGGACCCAAATGTCTTGCCCCCCACGCCTCTGCTTCGCTTCATGGGAAGTGAAAGGGGAGCGGGAGGAGGGGGAGGGGGCAAAACATTTGAGTTCTGCAGTATTTTCCATGTATGCATTCAGTATTTTCCACTGTCAACTTTTCATGGTATTTCACTTCTTTCAAATGGCGTTTGCTGTAGTGCTTTTTCGGGATCATCAGATGTTACTTCCTGAGTCTTGTATTCAGAAGCCTCAGGGTGTTGCGAGAATCCACTTTCTCCCAACCGTTTCTCGTTTTGTGCGATAATATCAGCGCATTTCTTCTTACATTCGAGCAGCTCCTCCCTGACTCGGATGCTCGATACAAACTCAGCCTGAACTCGGCACGCTTCTTTAAGCCGGTGGCTTAGAGCTATGGCAGCGGCAGTTTCAGCACTCTGCTGTTTCGCAACGGCAACCTAGAAAATTTTTAGAAATCAAAATTTTCTCAGAATTTTCTACAGCCATCAAAACCAGGAGTGGCTGGATCAGGACTTACTTTTCAGAAATGAATTACGAAAAGAACTTATGACTTGTTGTGACTGGTCAATTCTCTCCATCAGCCGTCACTTGCATCAATTAAAAGTCAAAACTTGCTCTCTTTTTCAAGCTCTCAGTGATGGTGGAGAAGAGTCAGGTACTCGGGAATGTTTCACATTCTCTTCCAGTGCTTGCTTGGGAAAAAAGCTGGTGGCGGTCCCTTGCACTAGTTAATTCCAAATTGTAAATTGGTTATGTACCAATTTACGTCGTCGAAATGAAATAGAAGAGTAGAAAGATTTGACTTAAATGCCATGTGTATGAAGGCTTTTTATGATGCAGTCCGTGTTTCATCTCTTAGCTGTAAACACAGACCGGACTATGCGTGCGGGCAGGAATGGGAATCATTAGAACAGCCTCCTACCCGCCATGTTCTGAACAGTCATGTAAAAAATTTGCAAGATGTGTAAGCGAAAGAAAGAGATGTAATTGAATTCTACGCGGTGCCTGCTTCACCAGCGGCATTCCCTAGAATTCACTTATATCTCTTTTTCTTGATCCTCGCGGGCGGATTGCAAACAGTGGTGACTGGCATCTGGGGACACCAACTGTACTAGTACTTGCCAACAAGGGCCAAAGCGTGATGAACCTTTTCAGCGTGCTCCTTCTGCCGAGATCGCACCAACTCCTTCGCAATCTCGATTGGTGATGGCCCAGTTCTGCGTGGTAAATAAGCTACAAATTTTTTGCTTCCCATAATCGAAAAGTGTTCATTTACTTCCCTGAAAGTTTCTAAACTATCAAAAACGAATCTTCCAGTCGAGGCCTGGATGATCCGAACAGTAAGGATGTTTTTCTAGATAACCCCTCCTCTCCTACATCAAATCGCGCTTGCTTGAGTTAATGAGCAGCAAGACCGCTCTGTTTTGCAAGCCAAAACCTTAGTTTTTAAACTGAGGTCTTCATCATCTTCTCTTCCTTGCTCCTTCAGCATCCCGCACCTCTTTTC